GGTTTGTAAGGGTTAGTTTTGCTTTTACGAGTTGATCACCGATTGATACCAGCTATAGAGCCATTGAAAACCAGGGAGTACTGGATAGCTGTTTCATCCTAGTTTGGGAATCATTGAAATTACGCAACCACCACAGTGGGTTCGAACCTAGGACCTTCCGGTTGCAAAACGAACTGGCTCGTATACCATTCAGCCACTGGAACCCAATTCAATGGCCAGTGCAGGAATTCTAACTTCTACCAATTTGTGATTTATCGCGACCTAACCATTGTCGTCGGCGGGACATCCATCCTCACAAGTGACATTTGCATGAACCTCACTGGTAACAACTTCTCACTAGACCTCCAGGAAACTCCATCCTGTAGCAAGTCACTAACGAACATCAGACTGGTTAGTAAGGTTTAGTTATGTTTTTACGAGTTGATCACGGATTGATATCAGCTAGGGAACCATTGAACCATTGTTGTCAATTTTATCCCCAATTTCAAAACTAACTCATCGTTGTCCGATCCGGTTTCACTCTAGGGTCTTCCTGAAGCGCAGCATCACTCAATGCTCTGAACAGAATATGCCATCACCACTGACTTAGGCATAATTGTTAAGCAACAAGCTTTAGGCTGGTTCACTCAACCTCCAGAGCTCCTTATTGTTTGCTTATCCCTTCCAGACAACCATCTAATCCTAAGTATGTAATCGTTAGTATCTATGCAGCGAAATGATGAGCTGATGACAAAAGTCTTCAGAAGCCCGTTAGTAACGCTTTTCGTGAAGGGTGCACCAGGTATCAATTTTTCAAGAAAGCGTAATTTTCTCACTGAAATACATGTTTCCCTCTGGTGATAACATAGTGAGCATAGTTTCTCGATTTCATGACCATATTACGATTATCAATCATACAACTGTCTGATTTTATTGATCACGTCTGTATGACATTGATTTATCTATCAGTCACCTGCTTGCGTCTCATTAAGCACTGTTACCTTGAGAAGTAAGCCTAGAATACGATCCTTTCTAGCGATATGAACTTCAGTGTGAATTTCTTTTTTTTGTTGCTCCCTTGGGTTCCTAGTGGAACATAGGGCTTCAACTGCACGTCTCCATTCGCTTCTGTCTTCTGCTATACTTTTCGCCTGCATCCATGTTGATCCATCTTCTTTCAACTCCTCTTCACACGATCTCCTCCATGTCACCCTTGGACGTCCCACACGCCGCTTCACTTTCGGGTTCCACTCGAGGGCTTGACGCGCGATGTCACCCAGCGGCCTCCTCAGCGAGCGAGTGTTCAATCCATCTCCGCTTTCTACTGCATATTTGTTGGGCGATTGGTTCTTGTTTTGTTCGTTCCCATAATTCCTTGTTGGTGATTCTTTCCGGCCCAGCCCGGCCATCTGATCTTCAGTATTGAGTGAAGACAGTTGTTAATAAAGGTCTGCAGCCTTTTGGAAATATTCTTTGTGACCCACCCGCCAAGTTTCTGATCCGTATAGAAGAACTGACTGACTTGACGTATTTGTATTGGAAATCCGACTGCATTTTGTTGTTGATGCTGAGTGACGAAGATTTCCAGATTGGTTTCAGGCTGATGAATGTGTTCCTCGCTCGCCTTCCCGATTCTCGCTCGATTTGACATCCTCGTCCGCTCCTCCTGTAGTTGAGACAATGCTCCCTAGATCAGTGAGTGAATGAAGTAACCTCTTTCAAATCCCTCCCGTTGATGGTGATTGACGTTGGATGTTGTTGCTGTTGTTGGTTGGTTATTTTCATCACCTCCGTGTTGTGTATGTTCATATGGAGTCCTGTCTTCACCGGCTGCTTCTTCGACCAGTTTGTCGGCTTTCGCTTGTAAGTCTTCGATTGTGTGTGACATCAAACATAAGTCATCCGCGCGCGAAATCCAGGTCTTCTAGGTTCTTCACGTCGGTCCAGGATATTCCTGTTTTCTCGTTTCCCACAGTCTGACGCATAATCCAGTCCACCACAATTAGGAATATCATTGGTGATAGTAAGCACCCTTGTCTGACTCCTGTGTTTACTCCAAACGCCTCGCTGAGTCTTCCGTTGTGGATCACTGGATCACTTGGTAGGTGCCGTTGTCGTACAGCTGTTGAATAAGGTTGATGAATATTTGGGGTACGCCATAGTACTCGAGTAACTTCCAGTGAATTTCTTACTGGTAAGTAATCAAGAGTAGCTATTATTCACACTACTGTTGTTGCTCGCTTTGGGTTCCAAGAGGGACATTTGGGCTTCAGTACTACATCTCCACTTTGTCGTGATCTATGAAGTCCTCTGCACCTGGCTCCATGTTCGCCAACAGTCTCTCAACTCCTCCTACCCTCACGACCTCCTCTGTGTCAGCTTCTGATCCATGTCAAACTTACTGTTTTCCGTTAGGGTTCTACTCGAGTGATGGCCTTGTGCGAGATGATGTTCGATGGTCTCATCAATCTGTGTCCATTTTTCCTAATAATTTATTGAACAAAAGATTTTAAATTTACTGGTTCCCAGAGTTTCTTCTTATGAATTACTTCCGACCATCTGATCTTCCGTACATAGTCAGAGAGGACAGCTGTTGATAAAAGTTCACAGAGGGCTTTTTGGAGGGCTTTTCGTGACGCGTTTTCCAAGCTTCTGACCCATATATAGAATAACTGATTTGACAATGATACCGGAAATCCGGATTCTATTTTTCAGGCTGAGCGGTGAACATTTCCAAACTGATTTCAGAAGGATGAAGGCCTGTCTGCCTTGTTTTCTCGATTCTGATTTTGACATCTTTATCCGTGCTGACTTCCTTCCTGGTTGTAATGATACTTCCTGGATAAGTCAAGGAAATGACCCCTTCTAAAATTATTCCCTTGATAGGGAGGGACTGGTCATCTTCATAACCTCTGTCTCCTATATGCTCACTTGCACTCCAGTCTTCGCTGCATGCTTCTTCTGACAACTTATTGGTTTTCGCCTAGAAGTCTTCGTGTTTATGTGACATTAAACATAGTCCTTTTTTCAGGTGGACGTAGTCGATAAAGGCTAGTAAAAACAGATGAACCGATTAAGTAATGCTAGATTGTAAGAGAAGTAAATGAAACACGTTTTTAATGAAGATGTGATAAGATTAAGGGATGATAAGAAAGGGGTTGAAAATATAAACAAGGGGTGGCGTAGAAGTCATTATTTGGTTATGCCTTGACGGAGATGGGCTATCCGAGTAGTTTCATAAAGAAACATATGAAAACATCAGAGAAAAAACCTGAGACTCTTACTGCGCATAAGAAACCTCTATTTATTAAGTTACAATTGAATGGTGACCTATCAATTGAGATTTTATTCCAGAAACGTTCCAGGAGTATACGAAAGACATTATACTCAGCATACCTATGTTTGTCATTCTCTAGCTGACGAATGATTGGAATGCAAACGAAGGATAAGCTAGATAGGTTTGTCATATCTATGTGTATTTAACAGTTGAAGTGCACCTGCGGTGACAGTTATGCTGGGCGTACTACTACTAGACACCTTAGCAAACGTGTCATTACTGAACATCCCCCATCGTGGCTTGGCAAGGGACAAACGAAAACAACCCAAAGCTCAATTTTATCACATTTAATTGGTAGTGGTCATGTAGTCGAGAAAACGAGAACCTTCAAAGTAATTCATCGTATCCCACCGAATCTTTCCAACAGACTTCGTATTCATCTACTGCACACACACACACACAGCTGAAGCGAGAGGCATTCGGACTATTAAACTTAAACTATGCATTCAAAAGAAGTTCGTACAGCCATTATCCCTCCCTTGTTGGCCTATTAAGACATAACCAAATTATGACTTCTACACCACTTCTCACTTATATTTTCAACCCCTTTTTTATCATCCCTTAATCTTATCACATCTCCATTAAAAACGTGTTTCATTTCCTTCCCTTACAATCTAACATTACTGAATCGGTCCATTTGTTTTTACTAGCCTTTATCGACTACTTCCACCTGAACATTTGTTTGTTTAATCATGCTGTTTTCATTATTCGTGTTATCACAAATTGCCTCACGTATTCCTTTTTTCTCCCTAAGCACATAATCTCCCGCATAATCCAGTCCATGACAATTAGGGATAGCATCGGTGATAGAAGGCAACTTTGTCTAACTCATATAGCAGCTGAATGAGGTTGATAAAGGTTTGGGGCACACCATATTAAACAATATACTTCATTTTCAAGCACTGGTTTTGTAGGGATTTGGTTTGATTTCATGGAGGACTTCCCCATGAGCTGACATCAGTTAGAGAATCACTGGAAAACCGAGTGAGAGTATTGAACAGCTGTTTCGTCCTAGTTTGAGACTCTTAAGCAGTATGCATCCACCGGGGTTCTAACCCAGAACCTTCTCGTAGACAATTGAGCCACTGGAACCTAATCCAATGGCCAGTCTATGAATTCTAAATTCTGCCAGTTCACAACGTAGCGAGATCATTTCTCAATGTCTTCTTCTTGGATGACTTACTGCCTCATCTTCAACCTGCTGTACCCTACTGGTCACGCCTTCCCACTAGAATACCAAGTCACTGCCTGCATAGGATCAGTCTTCAGTGAGCATCAGAATAATTTTCAAGTATTAGTTTTGTAGGGATTTTGTTTTGTTTGATTGGATGGAGGATTTCATCATGAGCTGACATCAGTTAGAGAATTAGTCCGAGTCCCACTGGCTCAATCGTCTACGAGCTTGTCTTGTAACCAGAAGATCCTGGGTTCGAACCTCGGTGGGTGCGTACTGATGAAGAGTCCCAAACTAGGACAGAGGAAACAGCTGTCCAGTACTCCCTGCAGGTTTTCCAACGGTTCTCTAACTGATGTCAGCTCATGATGAAATCCTTCATGCAAAATATTTAATTATCATGTTTAACTAATTATTTAAATGATTTAGTGTTATATACCAATTTTCTCTCAGCTTTGCTTGAAAATTAAAATTAAAAAAATATATTTTCATCCATTTTTTTTCACTCAGATATCAACTGATCACACAAGGTGATGATACATTTGAATTGGTCCAGTTATCCAGTGAATTTCCAAGTCTTCCTATGTTATCGTCTACCTCTTCAAATCAACCTGCCTACTCATCATCAAATTCTGATTATTATAATAATCTCCTCCCTTATGGACAAGTGGACAGCTCTTATACTGCCTACCATCCTTCATCGTCTAGATCTCTCATGGCTGTTAGTCAACATCATCTACAGTCACTACCTCAACAACAGCTACAACAAACCAGGCCAGAACAGCTCTATTTAAAAGTAGCTAAACAATTAGACTGGGAGACAAAACGTAGTTATAATTTTATATTAACTGCTGAAGATAATGGTTCACCGGCGTTCACTGGTCAAATGAATATTGAAGTAAGTGTTCTCTGTAAAAGGTGATGAGTACGTCTCGGTAATTTTCAATGGTCACCTTTTTTTCCTTCACATTCCCCAGCGGAACAAAGCGATTCAAGCTAGTGGCTTGAAGTTTCTGTAGTAGTGTTTAATTTTGCAGAATGGAGTTGCTAGCCTCATTACCAACATTTACTCTTTACCGGGATTGCTTCTTGCTTAGCGAGGTAAAGGACTGGGTCGGCCGGAGATAGAACCCCGGACCATGTGCATGGTCGACGAGCGTCCTAACCGCTGTGCCATCGACGCACACAATGGTCACCTATCTGATATTAATCCATAATCAAATTTAAGACAAATCAAGACTCTCACTAGTAAATGACTACAAGAATTATTTGCCTACAGTTCTAGGGAGAAGTCATGATCACTGCGGTCCATCATGTCGAGTATGGAGTGAAGTACTTTTCAAAGGTATTGGTAGATAGTCATGTTGTATACTTCCAACTTACAGATGTGAGAATTCATGGGCCAGTGAATTGAGTCCCAATGACTGAATGGCACACAACCTCACAATGTAACTGTAGGGTCCTGGGCTCGAACTCCGGTGGGTACGTGCTGATGAAGACTCTTTAACTAGGAAAAAGTACTACCTAGTACTACCTGGTGGTTTCCACTGGTTCTCTAACTGATACCATCTCTCGATCAAACCTGAAACCAGTGAAATCTAAGCAAACCAACACAGGAAAAATATTTCGTAATCACTGATTAGGAATGCCATAAGAAATGAGAATAAAAATGATTTCTTATCCAAATGTTGCAAAAAGAAATAAACTACAAAAATTGCTACATTTAAATTCCGTATTATTTTGTTTATTGCATGTAACACACAGTGAAACAGTATCATTTACTGAATGACAAAGTTTCGAACAAAATTTATTGCCGTTTATAATCATATCAGTTATCATGACACGACTTCGAAACCTGAATTTTATAGTTTTCTTTGTCCTCTCCTATTTGTATTCGTTGGGGTAGTAGAATTTTTCAGATATCCGACTGGCCAGGTGTTGAATCATTCCTATTACATGTATTCGCAGTTGATTCGATAAACAAAGCATCCGTTATCAATCTCTACCTCCATTCACCCTTCGACATTTGATTTTAAAACTGTCATCCTGTCCCATCCTATTGTATGATTGTGTGTAATTGCATGTAGTGAGTGGTATAGCTGAACTATTCTCTAGATTTCTTATCTTATTCGAGTCAACCAATTTAGATTTGCTAGGCTTTTACGTTCGACTAGTCTGACTGCCCCTGTTCTACTACTTTCACTTATGTATTTGACCTGACAATCATTGTAGTTAGGGTAATAGATAAACTAAATTTTGTTTGAAAGCAGTAGTTCCATACAAGGAAGGAACCTAGGAAACCTTACGAAGAATTTTTAACAAGGCACGAATAAAATTGCTGACACTGAAACCCACAAACTTAATCAGAAACAAGCTTTGTCAGTTAAAGGATCAATATTGTGGAGCCTTTGAAACAAAACAATTTAGTCTATCTAATACCCTGCCTCTAATGATTGTCAGGTCAAATATATAGGTCAGACTAGTAGAACAGGGTCAGTCAGACTAGCCGAACATAAAAACTTAGCAAAATCCAGATTAGTTGACCGAAATAAGATAAGAAATCTAGAGAATAGTTCAGCTATACCACTAACTACATGCAGTTACAAATATCCATACAATAGGATGGGTAGGATAAAATGACAGTTTTAAAATCTACTCTCAAAGGGTGAATGGAGGGAGAGATTGATGACAGAAGCTTTGTTTAACGAATCAACTGCATATACGTGTGATAGGAATGATTCAACACCTGGCCAGTCGGATATCTGAAAAATTCTACTACCCCAACGACTACAAATAGGAGAGGACAAAGAAAACTATAAAACTCAGGTTTCGAAGTCGTGTGTTTACAATTAATGAAATGGTTATGAACCATAATTATTTGTGTTTGAAATTTTGTCATCAAGTATATAATACTGTTTCACTTACTGTGTGATACATCTGATAAACAAACTAGTACGAAATTACTTATTACAACAGTGCCCATCGTTACATTTTAGTTCAGAATTGAAGTGAATTCAATCATATATCAGCAATAATATGCTTGACTATGTTGGATTGCACCATCCAGAAGAACGTTAGTGGACAGCCAAAAGAGAGACATACGTTGAAGCGACTAAAAGTTTCCAAAACATATGAACTTTGTGGATGACTTATACTTTATGTTACACAAATTGAAAATCTAAAAGAGATAACCAGCAAGTGAACAGTGGAGGCAGACTGCAAAGAGGAGATTTTAAGTGAGGTGATGAAGATACGACCGCCTGCTTAAATCACTGGGTTACCTTAATTTTACTCCGTTTCCAGTTGTTCTAATTTTCAAATTGCCGTAGCGAATCTTAATCTATCGATGTCTCTCCGAGGTAGAACCGACACTGAAAATATTCATTTGTGTTCTAATGGATTGGAAGATGTCATAGTTTTCATAAATCTCAATGGTGCAATCTCAAATAACGAATTTCAAAGATGAAATAAATAAATTAACCATCTGAGCAACACTCAAGGATGGGGATATATTTGTGTGGTGCCATATATATATATATTACCGACTGGTTGATATGAATAACCGGGTAACAATTACATCACAACCAATATCTCTTGCTACCCAGCTAGTCTGAAGTGATTTAGTCAGAATTCGTATGATTTGAAATGATCCTGCTCTTTGATTTAAGTCAAAATGCATGCATCGCTAATGAGCTCGTGTAAAAAACCGAGAGAAGCATTTCACATGTGTTTAAATCCTTTCAATCTGGTGTAAGCCGTATCCAAGTGGTCATATCCGTCACTCAATTAATGGGACATACTCTTAATAATAATAATTTGCTTTATTCCAAAACAGTTCTTGTGATACCGAATGGAATTCTCAACATTTTACTACATTATTGCATCCAGTTTGTTTATTAACAATAAATAAAATTCTACATAGATTAAGGGTAATCTCAGTTAGTTTTGACAACATATTAGCATATTGGTAGCAAAGTCAAAAGTGAACAGAATGTTTGAAGGTGTTAGAAAAGTAGATACTAGCATACTTACTGGCGTAAGCGGTAACAAACAGGTCGAGATATACAGAGTATGAATGAACGAACAAGAAGAATGTTTTAAATAGAGTTTGTAAGGAGGAAAGAAACAAAGCAGCACATAACAGAAAAGAGAGAGAGAGAAAAGGAAAAGAAAGAAAGAAAACGTTGTACCTATAAATCATACGGGTTGGAAAGACAAGATCCAGTTGTTCTACTGATTATTTAATCACTTATAAGTTTCACGCTTAATGCTTTCTTTATCGCACAGAACACGAGCTAAGTAGGGTAGGTTGAGTTTTTGTACTTCCTAGTGCGAGCATGTAGTTTCCTTTATAGGCTTCTGGTTTTGCCTGATGAGATAGGGGAGAGTTGTGAATGGAGAGGGTGGTGTGAGATAGAGAGATAGAATGGATTTAGCCCATTTTTCACATGAGTCCATGTGCCTGTCCACCAGAATATTAAAAAAACTGGCTAAGTGGCAAACTGCTTACCCTGATGACAACCTTTAGCATCCTACGTAATAAGGTATAGTCTTTCTTCAAAAGCCCAGGAAAGACTAAGGGGGAACAATAGAGAATAATAGACAGAATACGGGAGTTAACAAATTGTAGGAGTAAGGGTTGGGTTACACCAGAATGTCTTAACTTCTTGATGTAGAAGGTAAGACGGAATATTTTCTTAGAAATCGTCAAGATATGAGACGACCAGGAAAGATCAGAAGATAGAGTGACGCCTAGGTATTTAATTTCCGACTTGGTTTCAATTTCAGTGCCATCTATGTTGCACACCTCGTGAGTGCTAACCATCAGTTTGTTTAGGTCAGATTTGTGCCGTAAGGTGAAATTAACTGTTTGGCATTTGGAGGGGTTTAAGGTGAGACCGTTTTCCTTGGACCACTGACTGATTTCTGATAAAAAGCCATTTAGTTTAGAGCAGTCACTTAGACATCTGACAGTCAGGTCGTCAGCATATTTAACAAAATTAATGCCATTTGAAGATGGTAAAGTATGTAGACAGAAAGAAAAGAGAAGTGGGGAGAGTACAGCACCTTGAGGGACACGGTCTTCAGCGAGCACAGCAGAGGAAGATTCACCTTTGTATACAGTGTACTGCATACTGTTTGAGAAATAGGAATGTAACCAGTTCGTGACCCAGGAAACAGTTTGTGTCACTGACAGTTTATTTAGCAAAAGACATACCTAGGTACAGAGTCAAAAGCAGAAGCGAAGTCGAGAAAGGTGCAGCGGACTTATTTGACACCTTTATCTAATGATGAGACGATACTGTCGTGTAAGACGGCTGCGTCGTCTAAAGTGGTCCTACTCTGTTTATATGCTAATTGTTTAGGGTCTTCAAAACCTTTAAAGGAGGATTCAAGTTTAAGAAGTACTAGTTTTTCCATTAGCTTCAGAAACGGGGAATTGATGGCAATGGGTCTGAACTTTACGTTCTTGCTATTTCCAGGTTTAGGGACAGCGACTATTTTAATGTCTTGTTTATGCTTGCCTTTATGACTACCGTTTACGATATGAAGCAGATCACATTTTTTGTGATTGGAATAATCTCTGTTTTCAGAGGAAATTGTGGTACAAATTACAAATCTGATCTAAGATCATATTTGAAAATTGAAAGTTATTGATTTCTTGATTGATTTTTCACCATCATCTATTGCATAATCAGTTAATTATGTTGTTTTCTTTCTTTTTTCTCCATTCTTCCAACGCCTTCTACCCTCCAAATACGCACAATTCGCAGATTATTGTAACAGATGAAAATGACAATCATCCAGTTTTTCGAAACAAAAGTCTAGTTGTCTATGTACCAGAGAATTCTCCTGAAGGTGTACACTTGATCCAGTTAATTGCAGATGATCCAGACGATGGGATATCCGGTCAAGTGGTCTATAGTCTAGTAAATCAGGGTGTGGATAAAATTAGCAATAATAACAATAATAATGATAACAATAATAATAATAATAGCGATTCTCGGAAGGGATTGTTTGAAATCGACTCTAAAACTGGTTGGCTGATGACACGTGGACGATTAGACTATGAAAAAGCAAAGCATCATCTAATCCGTGTTCTTGCCCGTGATCAATCAGGTCATCCAGGATTTGATGAAGCAATTGTCAGTGTATTTGTCACCGATGTGAATGATGTTCCACCACAGATCACTGTCGAATCAGTCAGTGGAATCGCCTCAAGTAAAGCAAAGGAGGAATCACAAGAGAATAGGAAGAATGTACTACAGTTGTATATAAATGAGACACCGGGACCTATTAATCAGATCAGTAGTCGAATGAACACAAATTTTGATTCTTATAACCTTGAAGATGTACCTCTATCCTCCACAATGACACAGTTATTAGCCTTTGTTGTCGTCAGTGATCCAGACACAGGACAAGGCGGTAATTTCCAATGTCATTTAGAAGCAGTCAGTATGAGTAATAGTAATACCAATAGAAACCATAAAAATTATCAGTCAGCATCACATTCCTCTTCACTGAGGGAAATAAATCGTCTGGATAAACTATTCTATTCACCTCAGCATCTATTGGACAATGAACAGAAAATGAATCGTTTTTCACAACAATTCCCTGGTAATAGTCAAAGTTCTATTGTGGGAGGATTCCAGTTGAATCCAATTTCTAGTGCTAATTTTGAACTGATTACGCTTGGTGGATTTGATTATGAATTTAGTCAGTTAGAGTCAGTGAGGGTAAGTCATTGCTTTGTTTGAATACATTATCGTCAAGGTCATTCACAGAATCTTACGATTATTGGATGTTTTTAAAAAAAAATAGTTATACTCAGTGCACGAAAACATTTAAACTGGGAATTTATTTGAGCTGTGATAAAAGTTTGGTACTACATGCTGCTGAGAGACTGATATGAGTAGTTGGAAACTGACTGGCTTCAAACAGGCGAAACCACAGTCTGGTGTTCACACGGCTTTGGTCTGGCTGGCTCACAACACCAGTGTTTGATGTGAAGGATTACCAGTCACTGACATTCATGTTATCACTACATTTCACATATTTTGACCTCAAGCTGTGACTAGTCTCCACAGCAAATCGTGTAATTTGCGAAATGCCCAACTTGTTTCTTTGTAATTGACTAGCTGACTGACCTACTGAGTTCCATCACAGGACTTGAATGAAGGTGCACCCACTCAAGTTCCCAAACTGTTGACGTGGCGCACAAGGTGTAAGGAAAAGGTAAATCGAAAGAAGCATAAGAAGCGGAAAGGATAACAGCATCGGAAAATATGATGATTTTTGGCAGCTATATCACATAACGTATCAAGTCATTGGTTCTGAGCATCCGTAGGAACCACACCTGGGTGTCTACTCCCCCGTATATGTGTGTGGCTGAAGCCAAGAGTCAGTGAATTCCTGGTTCTTTGTAGTGAAAGTTATCTTCCTAAATATTCTAAGGAAAACTCAACAAAGTTGGTTAACGGTGGCTAGCAATGGGATCCAAGACGAATGTTGTATCCAACTTGCTTTCCTCCAGGTGTATGCGCTCCCAGTGTAAGATGGGCTCATCCTGTGAAGCCTGCTTAGCATCCATCATTTCATCGAGGAAAGCGTTATACACAGGGCTGGTCAACCTCCAGAAACAATACGTAAGGAATTGTTATTTCCTGTTGGTGTATCCGCTCATGGTATGGACGCTACCAAAGGGTTGACTACCATGGCTCAGTGGACCGGTGGATAAAGGCAACTTGCTGTCTGAATACATGGGTTTCGGTTCTGAGTCTTGTTGACAATATTATAGAAGGAAGAAATATGTGTCCTTTATTCCACTAGTAACTATTATCAATCTAGTTTCTTCATGTTCATCTTAGAATCCTGTATACTAGACACCAACAGGTTAACTGAACATTTCCGTCCCCTGAGGTCAATTAACTGAAAATTCAATACAATTTATTACCCTTTGTGAATCTGAAGAAAGTAATAACAACAGTTTATTCAGGATAATGTGGTACTATCGTTTACTTCGTTGTCTTCTCATCAGCTCCTTACAGCCAAAAGATGCTCTTAATTTTCATGTTGTTCCGGTTGACAGAGAGTTCAAGTTTAAACAAAAGATCAGTGTGTGCACAGAATAGTAAATCATATATGTAATAAAGGCAAGAGGTAAAAGTCAAAGATAATATGGTCAAATGAAAGAGTGAATGAGAACACACAGTCACTAGGGTAAAGAAAGACTGATAACTGCTTCTTTCTGAACACACACACACACATAAATGGGGTTTCAGGCGCATGGTAGAGATTTCTTCGGCAAACTTACCAAGGATTGAACTCTTCTGCCTATTGATAATTTCGAACGATCTTGCGATATTCAATCAAGGAAATGCGTGGTGATGGCACTGTTGAAAGCATTTGTTTCCTTGAAATGTAGGCTTATTGGTACATGTTGAGAAAATCGGAGGTTTGCCCTTATTTCCGTTCTCCCGGGCTTCGTTTAAAGCCATTTGAACAAAACTACAGAAATGTAAGTATTGCCCACTCCATATCGGCTTTCAGTAAATTGACAACTGGAGACAACTCTCTTCCAGACGTTGCATGGCAACGTCAAGGTAATGAAACTTTCCGTCACTTTCATGTTCCATAGTAAATTCAATATATGTATGTGCTTTGTTGAATGGTCCATATGAGCTGGAAATACACTCAGGCGAATTTGCAATTAAGAAATTGTTTCACAGTTTACAATTTCCACAGTACCCCATCAATTGATGTGGGCAAGTAGTATTCAACTATTCATTTCAGCCAGTCAGTAGTATATAGCAAGATACACTTATGGTTCCTTTCTTGATTGCAACTTAAGGTATGAGGCGGTCATTTATATACTGTGATTTCAGTTACTTGGAGGGAACTGCAGTGAAATTTCACATTCTTGGGCTGAGTAAACTGAGAATCGCGAATTCGACTTAAAACCGCTTCAGCACCGACTTCAATATAACTCAATCTTTTGGAATTCCCATGAATCCTATAACTACCTCTTCTGATGACTATCAGTCGGACTCATTATTTCCAATTTCAACGTATTCATTATTAATAACATATTAAAAATGGGGAAATATAAAAATGTAAGCGAATACATTTGTAAAAAATGTCCAGGGACAGCCAATCACATGCCAGTCACCGCGAGTAACACAGATTACATCCATGAAGAATGACTAACGCTTATTTAACATTGGAATTAAGGCTGAAGCAATGTTCATTATATAATAAGTTTTTTATTTCCCAGTGAAAGAAAAACAAAACGATATTATCGTTTTTACTCACGTTTCACTATTTAATGCTGCTGCTAAAAGCTTCATCAAAGTATTATTAAACCGGAATTTACAAAATCTCAGCATATATAAATGATAAAGAGTTAAGAGGTGAGAAAATATACAAAGGTAGGTCAAGTTAAAAGGACATACTGAAAGTCAAAATAACAATGAAGATCACTAAACCAAATATCAAAGGTAATAGTACATCTGCTATGGTATCAAAACAAAGTGTACTAACTTGATCACACTCTCTGATAACGGATGAGAAAGAAAAAGAAGAAGAAATATCAAACATCACTGAAACTCTCAAGCAAAACTATTACCCAAGGAACTTCATCAACAAAATCAACACAGTCATTAAGTATGACCGAAAACGCATTGGAAAAACATGGACCCCAACAGTCGTCATTCCATATAGAGCAGAAACGTCAGACGATATCAGAAGAGTACTCAATCAGCTCGACATAACAGTTTTCTTCAAAGCATCAGACACACTACGAAACAACCTTATCCATATAAACGACCAAATCCCTAAAGATTCTCTATCTAATTGTGTCTATAAAATAAAATGCTTGGAATGTGATGCGATATACATAGGAAAAACATCGCCGGCGAGAAATCAAAATCAAAAGAAATGAACACCGTAGAGCCTACTCTGTTCCACCACCGAGAAATCCGGTTAAACTAGAAAATCTTGAAAAATCATCAGCCACACCTTGTCTACACGCTGTAGAATCAGGCCACAAAAATTGATTTTGACAACGTTGAAATAATCCAGAAAAAGCATTTTAGAAATCACAAAGAACGTCTCACATCATCAGAAGCACTTCATTTCAAGTGGAATCCAAATTGTCTCAGCTGAATGGGAATGACGGACTAAAACAGAGCCTGACCTGGTTACAACACCTCTCTCCCCTCCCTCATGAAGTGACAAAATCAACACGAATGTGATATGCAAGTTCACTATGCAAAAATACATACTGCTTTTATAATTTTACACACTGATCAAATCCAACAATCTACTCTTGGTTTTGTTATCTCTGCCAGTTGACCAACTTGACAGCGAAAAATGACCCCAGACAGACGAACATTGATCAAGTAAACTTTGTTTCGATATCATAAGAGATGTACTATTACCTTTGATATTTGGTTTAGTGATCTCCATTGTTATTTTGACTTTCAATATGTCCCTTTAACTTGACCTAAGTATATTTTCTCACCTCTTAACTCTTTGTTATATATATGCTGAAATTTTGTAAATTCTGGTTTACGAGTTGATCACGGATTGGTATCAGTTAGAGAATCGTTGAAAACAAGCAGGGAGTACTGAACAGCTGTTTCATCCTAGTTTGAGAATCATCGACAGTATGCACTCACTGGGATTCGAACCCAGGACCTTGCGGTTACAACGCTAGCTCGCTCGTAAACCACTCAGCAACTGGGTTCGCGCTAAATCACGAATTGGTAGAAGTTAGAATTCATTCATTAGCTACTGAATCGCATCCCAGTGGCTGAATGGCATACGAGCCAGCTCGCCTTATAACCGGAAGGTCCTGTGTTATAACCCTCTGTGGTGGGTGCGTACTTCCGATGACTCCCAAATTAAGACGAAACAGCTGTTCAGTACTCCCTGCTTGGTTTCAATGATTCTCTAACTGATATCAATCCGTGATCAACTCGTAAAAACATAACTAACCCTAACCCTAACCAAACTATAGAAGATAAGAATAATTTGATAAAGCTATTACCATTTAATAACGAAACATCAGTAAAAATGGTAATATTGTTTTGTTTTTCGTTCATTGGGAAATACGAAAACCTTCATTATAATGAATATCACATATACCCGATGCCCAGATATTTTTTTAACTGTTAAAAGTGAACTTGGCTTAGACATATATAAGTGAAGCAATGTTATCCAAAAAGACGATGTGTAACCATAATAAAATCAGTTTTGAATGTAGAAATTCCGCTCGAAGACAGTAGTGAATTCTCTGTATTTTACTTGAAATGCACAATGATAGTTTGGAAGTCAATTCAAATGTTTTGTATGCGTTTATGCTGCTATCCAAGCAGACAACTGAAAGGCTTAGTTAGACAACAAACAAGAAACACTGAGAAAAAAGCGGATGGAAAGTTTGCGTAATCCAGTGGTTTTCAAATAAATCATCAGAAAAAAACAAACAAACCACACAGTCAAGTCACAACTTTTTTCTGTTCATTATAACTAAATATATTGAACATTAAGCAGACATATTTGATGAAATAAATCATACATCATTACTGTAATCATCTTTTCAACGTGATTATTAGGGATAAACTTACAGGGAAAAGAAAAGGAAAACGAACTGAGTAAAAACTTGGGTGATGGGGAGGGGGGCCGGGGATGGTTTAGGCTTGTTACCCTAATTTCATTTGGTCAAATTCAGTGTTGA